GAGAGAACCAGGCTGAGAAAACGACAGTCAGAGTACAGGTATTAAACCAAACTCGTACAACATGATGACCTTTCTCGAATCTATTTATCTCATTGTCAAACGTTTTGATCCTCATGCACGGGAATGTGCATGGTATTACCCCAGGTTATCCGCAAAATGTCGTACCCTGGCCTCCAACAACCACTCTCAAGGAAGGTGACTCAGCTCTGTTTTCAACACAGAGAAAAAGTTTTCGATCAAATCCAAATCCGGGCTGTTAGGTAAGAACTGAATGAATTTGATTTTTGAAGTAGCCATTTCAGATCTAAATATGAAAAGAAAACAATATATGCTAGAGTTTAAATTAGTTTATGACATACCTCACGTGAAACATGACGAGGACCATTGTCCTGTACAAGTATGGCTTTACCGATGACATTCCGAGAGTGGTAGTCACTGAAAACCCTCTTGATCAGTGAGACAAATTTTGCACTGTCCAGTGTGTCATGTACAGGAGCCCAACGACAAGATACTCCGTATCTAATCCCCAACCACATCATCAGGCTAGCAGGATATTTGCTTTTAGTAAGCGGATGAATGGATTTCTTTGGAAAACTAGGTCCACAGATAACCTTTTTCCACCTGATGTCTTGCTCGTCAACCACCAGGCATTCGTCAGTAAAATGAACTGAACCCCAAAAGGACAGGCGATACGATTTGAAATTTTGGCAAAATTAATACGTGCCTTTCTTTGTTTGGCGTTCACAGGTGGCTTCATATCAGCTGATCTCGGCTGTAGGTCGAATTTAGCCATCATTTTCCGAACAATGGCATACGAAAGTTCCGGTAAATCTGCCCGTACGATACTGGATATTGGTTTCTCACAATTTCTTTTGAGCTGCAGCTTTATGTAGTACCTGTCCTGCTTCGATTGGGTCGGTTTTCTTCCTCCAAATGGACGTCTCAATGGAGAAATTCCGTGAGTTATACGGAACATTGTGCTTCTGTTCACACTGAAACATTTGCACAGATCAGCAACTGAAATGCTGGATGTTTACGCTGTTTTTATGCGTTCCCTCTCTTCTTCACTTGTGTATCGGAAACTCTTGGATTTATCAGCCGGTTTGGACGTGGTGACAACACAAAATGTATATTCGACGTGCCACACACCTCAAGGTCATTGCTCACGTTTCATGCAATATTCTTCTACTTCCTTCTTGATGCGAGATTTTGCGGGTGCAGTTTGTAGCCACATATATTTTCGAATAACTTATGATGATATATAATAATTTTTTAGCATGGTTACTTTGCATTGTATACAAAGGGATATTTTATTTAAGGTACTCGGATGGAGCAGAACAAACATCCTCAGGGAACAATATTCATTGGTTAGAAAGAATAGACGTCCGCGCTTCTCTTCATCAAATGGTTTCTAATTTTAAACAGTAACTTTCGAACAACTGCAATTTTTATCGTGACAACCAAGGTCGCGCCAATACAAATCGCGAAACAGGAGAACTGAAAACACTGCACTGGAAAATGGAGTTCGAAATAAATGCTTTATACCAGTAGCTATGGATGTATGGGTATAATATTTGAAGCTGAAAAATATCTTTATTTTCAGAGTCATGTTTCACGAGTTCGATCGATACCTGTATATTGTTGATCATGACGCAATGCGCAAATATTTGCGGTAAATTAGGCGTACGAGAAACGACGTAGTGGCGGAACAATCAAATCGCGTTCTTGACACTCCGGTTGATCGATAGAACAACAGCTATCTATCTATCTATCGCCTTAATCATCCAATTCGGAGTCGATCCGGCTTTGAGCGTCACGAACGCACCTGTGGTGTGACGCGGACCGATGCGTGGCCTGACGGGTTTCGTGCGCCTCGTCCTAACAGCATCTTATCCGGAAGTATCTATGACCGCAGAAGCTCTGCCGGAATAACACCGATTCCCAAGAAGACGTCCTCCAAGTGCCGACCGACTGCTTGCACACTATCACTATTGTAAGTTTACGACGGAGCGCATCTCAACTGGATGATCCTGTTGTCTGTTGCTCAAACCCCATTCAATTTCCTTGCAAACTTTCACTTTCCACTCTTGATGATGTGACTCACGTTGTTCACCCCGTTTCACCCTCATTCGATTAGGGAGTCCGGCATCATCCGTTGAATTATTCTTGATTGTGTCCATGTTGTTACATCACTTGACCGTGACCGTCAAAGTCTTTCGGATTGCGACCTGAGGTTCGATGTGTTGAATTTACAATTCAATTATTTACCTTACTACGTACTAAACCACATAGCCAATCTTGGTTTAAGTATATCGAAATCATTCACATTAGGGTTCTCCAATTATTCTTCTACACTTTCAGACTTGAAAATCCCGCCGGTTCTCTCAAAGTCATTTTTTAATTTGTGACAGTATGCACGTTCCCGCACTGGTTGTACAATACCGTACCGGTACAAATGAGAAAGACCTTATTATTTTTCCGTCAGCTCTTGAACTTCTCTCTCGTTGCAGTAGCATTTTCAAGAATTTTATGAGTTATTTCATTGTTATGCAACCACTTTGATTTATGTGATAAATTCCCCACCCATATAGTTACTACCAAATGAACAATACTGTTTGAAAATCCTAATCAACAAGTGTGTCTCGTATCCGTATACTCGTTTCACTTTGGGCACGTACCGAAATAGAATCGTCCGTTATTCTATACGTATCTTATTAAATTCAACAACTATCCACACTGACTTGGTAAATCGTTTATCACGTTAGCTGTTTATCACATCCGTTTGTCATGTTCGCTTCACTGCAACTTGTCGAACATCCTGTTGGGTGCACAATGCCACTTAGTTCTACTAAACATGACTTGTTCATATCCTGGACCATCTTGACAGGAGTGAGAAGTGAGTTATAGACGATCCGGAACTTTGGTCCAGGACTCAGTATTCGCTCAGGGGAAGATATCGAGCTGTACCCGAAGAGGGCGGAAAAGTCCTCTAGTTTCGGTCCTCGTCGGTCGGGTCATCTGAATCTGTATCCAGTTTGAAGCACGTTTAACTGCTCGGTTATGTAGATGTCGTTCTGTTCTGTCCAAGTGAGTAGCTTCACAACCAAACTGGAATTGGTAGATCGAATTACAGTTGACGTATAGAAGCAAACATTATTTTTTCATGCCTAATTCTGTCCTCCGTGCAGATCCGCCTCGTTCTGTACGAACAAAATCACATTTATGATCTAGCGGTACACGTTACTCGAATAATCATTATCAGCCTGTTCAAGTCTCTTTTCGTTTAACCGTTTGGACAGTTGTTTCAGCTTCTCTTCTAATCATGCTAATGCCAATAAAACGCAGTGAGTGTGTCACTGATTCCCAGATTCCATTGTGAACCAGGTATTTGGATTTAGTCTATCCAGTTCGTCTATAGTTACCGTTACAAGCAGAAACGAACAGTATGTAGGAAGGCAGGCAGGCAGGCAGGCAGGCAGACAGACAGAGTCCGGCTCACACGTCGCAGTGCATCCCAATGCCGTCAAGCCAGAATTCAAACAGTCAGTCAAGCGATCAATCGATCAATCAATTCGGCCACAGGCATGAATGAACACAAATCACTCAGCTGTAAGCCATAACCGTAGGCAAGGAGGAAAACTCTCCAAATAGGATGAATGTATCACCCACATGCGTAAATGACTCACACACTGTACTCTTATGGAATACATGATAATTAATCGACCAGATTTCAACTTGTGGTTTTTGATTCATTATCACTCAATTCTAACTTACATAATCAGTGCTTCTGTTTGTTTGCAATCTGCTTGTAGTGAATTCTTGCTTCAGCAAGTAGAAGGTATTCAAATTGAATACCGTATGGATCCATTGGAAGCGGAAATTTGGGAATAGAATATAGTACGTTGAAGTTTGCAGGAATTACACTCGTTCTTGTGAAGTACGTTTATGTATGAGGATATTGCACAGGAAATATCACCGTCAATAGTTAGAAATATGTACGCTATTATGAACCGATGGGACCCGGTGGAACAAATGTTGTACGAAGACGGATTCAAATTCCATTGATGTTCCTAATCATTACACTGACTGAATCTTTCGCTTTTATGTGTTTACGTATAAATTATGATTTACCAAATCACATTAAGATTCAAACTTAGTGAAACTCTCACAGCAGTCGCACCTCACTATTTTATCCTTCATTTATTCACCTCTTGTGATCTTGAAGTGGCATCATGACTCATCAACGTCAAAGTCATTGCTGAGATAATTATACCGTTTTCCACGAATGGCATTTCCACGTTGACTATACTTCGGTCTGTGAACAATGGATTCCGTTATGATTATTTGCTGACATTACTTCTGGGAATGAACACGATTTCTTTGTAATCCTCTAACGATTGAGTTGGAAATGTCTGTGCGGAGTATCCTTACGATGATCATACCGGAACCTACCTGACCGTGAAATGAAACATATCCTTTCCATGCATTCTCTGACCCCAAACTCGCTAGCGCTGACCAAATCTGAAGAAACGGATGGTTTCAAATGAACAGAAAACGTATTCATTGGAATGAAATGCGTGCATACGTGTGGTGTTTTACAAGTGAATCTATGTGGTAATTCCAATTCCAGGTTCTTACGCACACAGAAAGAGAGGGCGACACAGAAAAACACAATGAGCAAATCACTTGTGTATAGGGACAGACGCGTGATTTCGAGCACGCATCGAAAATTACGTGGAACACCTGGCTACTTAGTTCTGATAAGCACCTCGATCAACTGAGGTAGGGGTAAAAAGCGACTGACGATATAGGGTTTGGACAGAGTGAGAACTAAGTCATGCGGTGCGGAGTTGCGTACAGGTTGAAATGGGTATATTCTCGACGGTTTGACGTTCTTTTTTGATCTAAGCTGTCATTGTCCGAAATTTCTATTGATCGCTCGCCTCATCTCGGTTTTCTACTCTCCAGTTTGAACAGAGGTACAGTTTCCGTGACGAGGTCTACGGATTCAAAAGGAGCTCGAGCAATTTGCGATAGTCAAAGGATGTGTCCGACTGAACGTGCTTGACCAAATGTTCACCGAAATAGGCAGCATAGTCTGCTTTAAGTTGTGAAAGGTCGGTCTGAAGAAGAAATAATACAGTAACCAATGACAACGAATCCGCAAACAAACTGGTGGCAATTTGAATGAATTCAGAAAGACGTTAGCCATAAATTGTGCAAAATAAAGGCTTTGAAAACAAGCATAATTTCCATTGATTTCCACTGAGTTCGGAATCGGAGCAGTTTCCTTCGCAATTTAAGCACCCATAAGACTACTTCTAGGACAACCCGAGATTCGATATTAACAAACTACAACAACTATCAACGACAGTATGGTTGAGGTCACGACATGCTCTCATACGACCAAATGTCTCAAATAGCCTTTAATGAGGAAACCCTTATCACTGCCTTCTCGTGGTGGAGGTGCTTCCCACCAAAGTGAGAGGATGAAAAGCCGATATCCGGAGCTATAACTGGATGAGTAGTTCACCTAGGCGAGTTGGCCGAAAACCCGATTCCAAACCAACCAAGAGGGGGTGCACGATCCACACACACCTTCCCGGTTGTGGCAGTGGTCAATGGCTTGATTGTTCATCGAGATGTATTGAGCGCCTTGAACGTTTGACCCCGTCCAAAAGGTGAATGATCCGACGAACTGGACACCGGTCCCCGATGGATTGCGGTTTTCGCACACCGCCCTGCTACCTTGCGAGTCAGGCTTTGGTTAACCGAAGGCTCTGGTTGTGGATTCCTCAATAAAATTCACCTGCCTTGGCCTGGGCAACATGGCAGTATTCCGCCCAGATGCAAATCACGAAACATTTTCTCTATCGTTACTTCTATGTTAAATATATATGCTCGCTGTATTTGATGAAAGAATCTGGAGTGTTGAAGAACCTAGTTTTACATTACGGTTAACCAAATCTATAGAACAGTTCGATAATTTGATTTATTGGCACTGTTTGGATCAATCGATAGATATTGCTTATTGTTAGCAACGCTTTGGAATGATGATTTGAAAATACAACTGCCCAAATGAAAAACGTCGGTTCTTAGGCATCTGTTTGATCATCATTTTAATGACTTTCGTCTCGTCAAAAAGACGCCCGGGAATAATTTGTGGACTGACAGTAAATCCAATCATCTCTACAATGCCCAACAATTTCAACTCAATTAGAAGTTCAGAGCGGATCAATCCTTAGTCCTAAGGACCCCATTGGATCGCCAAATGATCAATAGGTTTTGATATATTACAGTTTAGCACCATTTTTCAAAATATTAGGTATTTAAGGGGTTTTCACACCATGAGCTGGTACCTAATTCGAAAAAACCATCGAAGGCAATTAATCTTTTTCACAGGGTAATCTCAATCGTAAGAGTGAAACTGGATTGTCGGATAAGTTGCTACTAGGTTTCCGCGGTTCTCGTGGCATTTTTCGCTGGTAAACAAATTACGCACTTGTGATGATATGCATCGCGCCGATCGAATCCGTGCAGGGATATTGTTTCACCCGATTGAAGATGAGATGTTTGCAGTTTTACTGGACAAGCATAGTAGACGAGAAAAATTCAAAACACATTATTCCTGTGACATGCAACAAGTATTTTGGTCAGTCCTTCATCTCGAAGGCAGCAGTTGAGTTCAAAATCTCTACCGCGGATCGTGTGTATCACTCGAGGTGTAGTAGGCTGGGTCGTCTAATGTATAGAATTAAAACAAGCTGTTGTTTGACGGATGGGGTGGAGGTAGAACGATGGCTGTCAGTTTTAGGCACGTTATATCTCTTAGTCACTCTGAAACCCATTTCAACAATATTTTTGCCAAACACATCGACTCATCCTTGCATGTAGTTTATTCTCTCATTCGATGCAAACGAACTTCCAAAGATCTCTCCATCGACAATGGTAAAGTGAGCATTGTAGGGTTCGCAAATAGTTCTGAATTTCTCCATTCTTAAGGGTTCATCTATCTTTTTTAACGTCCACTATTTTTTGGCTTCATCGGTACAGTTCTAATGTGAATATCTGTCTCGAAAACTGTCTTCTTTCGACATCACCTGGTAATTCAACACCAAAACTTCCCTGCCTCGTCATTACATACACTCAGTACAAGTGAACAGTGCATAGTAGTGCACAAAATCTTGTAAAATCTACGTGCATGATCTGGCTTGTCCCGTTGTGTGTGTTCTGTCAAATTCAACCGGGGGCTGAGCACTGGCGATCACGAATGCGATCACACTTAATAAGCTAGCTCAGTTGGCAACGCGGTTCACATACCTACGTAAGTTTCGTTTCTCCGGTGTACAATGGACCGTACAAACAATTCAACTCATGCATTCACGCATGTGTACATCACACGGAGCGCGTAGTGCGTTTCTGTGCGTGTATGTGTGTGTGTGTGCAAGTGGAGTCCTCGTGAATGCCATTACCAGTAGACTAACGATAGGCAGTACCATTGCATAGATAAGTGTGAAAGATTGTAGCCAGATTCTCAGCCCTGCCAGTGTAACAAACCGTTGTACTGAGTGACGCGCTTTTCCACACCGGATCAGAAGCAGTGTGAGGATCACGTGTTAGCATGCAAATAAAGCACATCGAACAGGAGGCACGTGAGCGTTTTAAAATTAGATTACAAACCTCGTTTGTGGGGAAAAAAGCGGAGGCAAGTGTGTTTACCGTGTGTGCGTAAGTGTGTGTGCCTGTATGTGTGTGTGTTTGAGTTCATTTAGTTCATTGAGTTCATTTAGTGCTCATAGCAGATCTGAAATTTTCCAGTAAAAACATAAATCACTGACAGCACGTTTTTTTCCGATGCTCCGTGCATGTAACGAGTCTCATACCCACAAAATGAAGGGTTGCTTCAAACTGTCTCTAGATGACTGGATTGAGTTGAGGAACCGCAGTTTGAATGAGCAATGAAGAAGACGAGACAGAATTCTGTTTTTCTTTATTTTAATTTCAATGACATTTCTCCTATCACGAATAGCCGACAGGTGGTCTACAAGACTGACCCGACATTTTCAATCATAATGCTAACTAACGGAAATCGATGTTATCAGAGAACGGGCAAGCTGACCCAAGGTCATTCAGTAGTCAATGTTCTGTTCAAACTAAAGCTCCGTTTCCCATGTTTACGATACTGCTGAATTGGGAATCGTCCTTCGCCTAGGATGAGTAAAACTGTGCCTTCACCAATCATCAGCTCCACCATCAAATCATCCTGAACTTGATCACTTGTGAAACAAAAACCGTTTGCCTCTAAATGCGAGAGGTTGAACTGGAATTCCTACAAATAGCAGCACTCTCATTGGGCAAAAGTGAATGAAACTGGGTTTCAAAATTGAGGCTCAGTGTTGACGGTGGTTGAAATGAACGAACGGCACATTTTCCCACATTGCTTTAACTTTTCTTCCTGAATAATTGACAGACTGACTTCATGACTCATGAGCAAAGCCGAAACAGCTGTACACTATACTTCCGAACACTTCAGTTTACTCTAACTTTATCTAGTAAGGTTGAAGATTTTCCCAAATTTATTCATTTCAAAGATAATTTTATAGTACTTTCACATATGTAATATCTGTGTATTATTCCATTAATATTTGTTCGTTCAGAATACTCAGGTGTGACAAGAAATGAACCAATCATTATAAAGTATGTCAGAAATGTTAACTGATATACTCTTTTCATTACCATGGCATCCGTTATACTGTCAATCACATGCTCGTAGAAACTAAAATGTAAATGTTATTTTGAAATTAATCGCATAAATCAATCACTAAGTCATCACAGGAAAATGGGAAGCAATAAAAGTCGGAAGGGACCATTCGTATTGAGTTTGAAACACAAACAATCCTTATAATCGGTTAGTGTCTGATGTTCGGCACACAAATGACTAGTGTCAAAACTTTTGAATAAATCATAAACAGCTTGTTCTAATGCTTAGCATGAAACAAATCTCACTTTGAAAAACAAACAGATTGAATAAGGAGGGTGGGTGATTATGAAACTAGGCAAATTAATTGCCATGGGATAAATAATAATTTATTTAGAAAAACGAGACCCTGAATTTTCATGAACGATATCTTTGACAGTCCAATGCGATATATATAGGATTTCGGAGGATAGATTTCATTTGATGGTGACCTACAAACGTATTTCTTCTAATCAAACATCTCCCTAAACTGGTATGCCAGAACTCACTCAATGTATTGATCCCGGTTCGAAAGGGTTCAGCGAATTTTTCACTGATATCCTTGACCAGATTCACACCGTATTTCTGGGAGTTACAACAGTGAAATTGAAAAGAGTTGATTAACCATGGGGCTTATAGAAAGGTCACAGCAACAGAACAGCTTCTCGGAACACTTTACATTCCATGATTCATTCACTTCACGTCATGTCGCTGGCTAAATAAGTAGCATAACTCTAAACAAATATATTATTATTAACAGCAGCACTTGTTTATTCACACGTGTGAAAGTTCCCGTGCACCATGTTTTTGGCCATGAATGCTATTATCCGCTATTGTTTGTGGCAGTAGCGATAAATGCAAGTGAAACCATACACCTGCATCCACCTGTCACAATTTTGTAGTATTTATTGCCAATATTAAGTGGTTTACTTATCAGTGGTGACCCTCAGAACAGAAAACGGTCCCAGTTCCGTCGTGTGTAAACAATCTGACTGGTAGTTTTGATGGAATGAATACCGGAATCGAGTGATGCAATTACAATCTTAATCCATCTGATTAGAGAATGCTAACTCCAAAGAATTATATATATATATATATATATACGGTCGAAAATGATCGCTCATTCGATTTCACTGTCCGGCCCGGTACCCTCGGTAAACGCAACCCTCGATAGGATGAATTATCTATCCTGCAGCGTTATTTTTTCCTGTGATTCTTTTGAACTAATCAAATTTAAAATTATTATTCCAATTTACGCCGATCGATGACGCGTACATGTTCAGAAATTGTGTATCTATCTTGTTTCAACTGAGCACAGCCCTTTATTTACTAAGTATTTCTATCGTCATTCTACGAACGCGATGAACGACAATCAGGTTACTCTGATCTAACTGAGATCTTTTGAAGGATGTAAGATATTACTACACATCAGAGGCATCTATTTGTTGCTCTATTTCACATAAGATCAGAATTAAAAAGCCAAATTTTGAAAGGGGAATAAACCGTATTGTCACCGACAATATTCATCCATCCATCCACCCATCCATCCATCCATCCATCCATTGGTTCTGTATCGCCGCACCATCAGTTCTATTAGTGTGAAAGAAACTAAAACCAATAGTACTTTTACATGATACACAACCCACAGTGGCAGGCGAGCGAAAACAATAAGAGTTGTTTTGCTGGTTCGAGTTACATATGTGTGCTTTTTAAAGTCCGACCACCCACATTTGCCGGCTATTCCGAGTTCATGCATTGCTCACATGAGTTTGTTCACATTTCATGGCATGTGAATAAAATTCGTTGAGTCAGGGGGTCCGCTCATGACACACGATTGTCAAGTGTATATTGCACAAAGTGCTTTGCAGGCTATCTGACTTCTCTCTCTCGTGTTGTATCTCCGCCGCTATTCAACACGTTTATAACACCAGTAAACCAGCAAGCACACTAGTCCGTTAGAGTCGCAACCGATCTGTTGACTTAACTTGAATGGAACCCTGATTATTGTACATAATGCTCTTATTGGGTGCGAAATGCATTCAAGGTCAGTCCGAATGGGTAGCAATAGAAATTCTTTGACATTCTTCGGCATGAGTTACGAATCGTATGAGTTTGTGCCAGTAAATAAGCTTTTATGACACAGTCATGTTCTATCCATCATCTTATTGTCTGCTGAACGTTTTTTAGACATATGTGAGCAGTACCAAATGAACAGGTATAATTACATTTGCCGGACTCACCTCGATGTAGACGCTCCAAATTGCTTTGATATGCACTTTGCTTCGTTTGGTTAAAATAGAAATCAATACTTTTGGGTCCGCTTTGAATCCCTTTCTAGAAGTATAACAGAACGGGAGGTGGGATATAATTATGAACGGACGGTTCGCTGACGCAGTGAACAGCTATGTGGGTCGCAGAACAGTCATACATAGAACAATGAATGTGATGATAGTATCCACGAAATGACATTAGTTAAACGTGCCGACAAAGTTATTTCATCTTGAATCACAAAAGCAGTGCATGCCTACTCTAAGCATGCCTAGGCTACAGTGAACCTGTTAGACGAAGTTCTGAAAACCGGGAAAATTTTCTTTTTCATCAAATTCCACTAGTTGGCATTTTTTGTGAGATAGAAGTAACAAAACTGTTTACCACGTTACAACTTTCTGGATGGAAACTGATCTCAACTAAAAGCTGCAGAAGCAGTGAAGAGATCTGAACGCACAACTCCGTATCTAACCTGAAGATGATCTGAACCATTCACCTTTTGCTATTCGATTAGAATATATTTTTGCTAGTTTGCTTTGGGAGAAATTATCACACATTTTTGGAGCTTTGTTCGGATCAACTGAGTGCACGTTCACGCTCCTTGAATGCCGATCCAAATTCGTGAGTTTATTCAATAATCAAATTCAAACCAGAATTCTAAATGAAACCAGTTAATTTGACCGAGTCAATTGCATGAGAGACTGGTGTCCTTGTGAGAGGGAAGAGATCTATTTAGCAGGTCGACACAGTGCTCCTGACCTGTCGTTACCCACGAGCCGGTAACCTTCTCGGAGCATGTTGTTGTTGTTGTTGTTGTTGTTGTTGTTGTTGATGCTGATGATGGTGATGGTGGCAATTGTGAACTATGAATGTTGATTTCGTTGGAACAATTCTGAGTACAAACGATAATTACTTGACCGCGATTTGAACAATGGTGCCAGATCTTGTATTAGTCAGAATGATCAAATTGCTCTGGTCGTAGTATTGTCGACACTGATCATTAGCATACTCAAAACTATGGCGCCAAAAAAATAAGCCGGATCATAATTGGACTAACCATCTATTTTCAAACTGATATGAATAAGTTGGCAATCAGATAATCTGAAAATCCTCTACGTTCGCTCAACCTTGATAGTACAAATTACGTCACGTTTGTTTGTTGAACATTCGTCCAAGACAATTCCACACTGTTTAAAAATCTTTGATTCTCCGTTCGTGGGTTACGAAACGTATTCAGCTCAATGAGTGACAGGAGTAGACAATGTAACTCTCAATTCAAAATCATGAAATTATAGAATGAAACCGAATGCAATGCTGGGTACCGCAAAATATTAATTATTCTACATGACGGATTTTTGTTTCTGAATGCACCGTCAAACGACTTGAATGACTTGTGTTTCATATTTAACTGCCTGTACGAAATCACATGACCCAAATAGAAGACACTTTTATGGGGGAGCGAATGAATTCTAATTGAGAAACAAAAAAGATGCAAAGCAAAATTGCAAAATCTAAGCACACATTGATTTCTTCCATGCACGCACTCCAGGTGAGAATTGAAAAGTGAAGAGCTATCAGATACGAACTATAAACCGATCCGTTAGCCTGCACAAAGGAATGTCACCATATCTACGCACACTATTATCTATTTAGGCGTATTGCCTGTTTGGTTATAAATGCGTTGCTGTTAGATTTCGTGCTAATTTGCTTCTCTGAATTGGTTTCACCAACCGGCGACATTTTTGACAGGCTTGTATACGGGGGCGCTTTCTGTCGTGGTTTGTTAGCACAATGGGCTGTGTTTGCACTTCTTCATTTGGGCTGGTGGGAGAATAGTAGGAAAGTATAGGATAGTAAGTAGACAAACAAACAAACAAACAAACAAACACGGATGGAATGAGCAACAGTTCATCTCTGAGATTTTCCTCAAACATAAAACTTTTGATTCATCCAGTCATGAAGTAGCGTTCCAACTGACGAATTACATCAGTAGCCCGCAGAATGAAGTCGTTTTGGTCACTTGAATGACACATAAGTTAAACAGATTTCAATAGCAAAGTTGATGGCGTACTGCACACACACACAAAACAAAGACTAAAGGCACACCCTGGAAACAGAGAGAGAGAGATTTTGATTGCATAAGCTTTTCTTTAATGCTTTGTCAACTGCCCAATGTACCACGTTTTAGATTATTGCACTTAGGAAAGAATGAGGCCAACCTTTTGACTGTAATTGTTGAACAAAAAGAATATGATAGACAATGAAACTGAGGTATCGTTTCGATTTTTAAGCCATATAGACCTTTCAGGGTTCGTAAAAGAACCCACGCCTTCAAAAGTTGGTCTACGAGAAATAACGCGTGCTTCATCACATCGCGATGACGTGTGGTAAACCACGGTAAGTCCCGGAGGTTCGGTGGAATTTTACTATTAAAGATGTAATACCAGTCATGCATTCCAATAGTGATTGGTACTGTCAGGAAAAGTTCAAACTTCCGCCGAGAATTCCCGCGGTTTGTATTTGAAAAAAGACTGGAATCAACCCTCACCGTGAGGACGTATGGCGTTTTTTCGAGGGTCCTGGATGCGTAATCGTTCATTCCCTCCATCAGCGTCTTTGTAACCTTCATTCCAGATAAACTTCTAGATTGCGATAACCCCTATATGTACACTTCTCGTCTCTCCGTTACTCAATCCACATTGGCTTACACCACCAATAAAGCCTTGAACTGTTTGCAAATGTCTTTTAATTGGGATCGTTGGGACAGGCAGCGTGGGGCCAGGTTTGATCATAGTTTGGCAAGACACAACAAAAACTGTGACTCTGTATGATGAATACACTTTAGTAAATAAGAAATAATCAAGTCACTGAGTGTGCACCGGTTCCAAACGGTGCGATGTTTATCAATTCAGACGGCATCAGTGATTCTTGGTAATCAATTGATGAAGCAGATTGATCGGGGCATGTTGGTTACTTTAAATTCCCTGTAAATTCCAACCTGCACACCATTGACCGCTTTCAGTTCGGCGGATCTTTACGCATACCACTCAAACTGATGATGCAGTTCCTGACAGTAATCTAGACATGCAGAATAGAGAAATCAACCCGTTTGAACACAAAATAGTATTTCGAATGTAACTACTTATAAGTAGACAAATGTTTCTGCTAACACTTGAGCCTTGAACAACACTGCAAATGAGCACCATTTAGTTCCGGAATCATTTCGCTTCATCTTAGTTATTGCTTACCGTAGAAACAAAATAGTTTAGGTATCACAAGACACGACCATCTAACAGGACATCAGTTCACCTTTTCGCTTAAGTGGTCACCAGGACAATACCAGACTGATGTAAACCTGCTGACACAGCAGGGGCTTTCGGTGCATCATTGCTACGGCCTCTGCAGATCTTAGCAGCCGTTATTTTGGGGTTGTGTGAACAATCAGAAACGAAGTCCCGCGGTTGAATTGCTGTCCAGTCTGCAGCAGGAGGCAAGCAATAGATGACGCAGGTGCTCTGTGAGACTGACTTGATGGTTTGTGTAGCACTCTATGTATTTCACTCGCATTCGATCCAAAGCTGTATGTGTTCGGCTACTCGGGTAGGCAGCTGCCTCCGTGTTCGGCCCACGTATATAGCTCTGCATGAAAACTGATATTTATAGATTACATGCAATTTGGCGGACAGAGGGGGCGGTGATTTCACCAAGGGCTTCGGGATGTGGGTTGTTGTGAAGTGAACGACTGGATTTGCAGCCAAATATGTGCGAGCTTCGGGCGCCACTCGCGATCCTCGTATGAGATGGACTAATTCATCACCTGTGAAAGGGAGTTAAATGGCGACGACGCATTTTGACGCTATCATCTCCGAGAGTTTGGACTCGGCTTTTTCATTGTACTTTTATGTGAACCTTGTTGGGTAGCCATTAGGCTTCAGCGCATCCATTCGCCAAATTAGCTCACTTTCCACATTATACGAAGTGCACAGCCTCTCAGCTTTGTCAAACAGTGTACCCCCGAGGCCTCTTTAGTACTGAATTGGAGCTAGACTCCCAAAATGCACATAATGACCGGTCCATGTGGATTTTCGATGCACATACCTCGAAATAGTTACGTCCCGTCTTCGACCAATAACAATGTTCAAAAATGGGACTGTTTTGTTTTGCTCAGTTTCCATAGTGAATTGTAAGTTCTTGTGAGGTACGTTCAATTTATCTAACCGCTCCTCAGGCTCCCTCACTCTTCGAACGATTATCAACGTGTCGTCGACGTATCTTTTGTACAGAACAGTACTGTTCAATGCGCTACTGCCTTTTTCTCCAGACTGGTAATGAAAATTTTAGTTGAGATATGACCCCAACGGGCTTCCCATAGTCACCCCATCAACTTGTTTAAATCGTCGACCCCGAAAACTGAAGTATACATTCGTTGTGCACAGAACTAGTAGACGTTCCAAGACCGAGAGCGGAATACCCAAGTCGATTTGTTTTTCCAGCAGTTAATCAGAGATAATTGGTGTAGGTCCCACAACAAACACATTGGTGAACAAAGAAACAATACCAAAAGATACCGTATGACAACTGTTTATGTTTAGTTCATTGAGAAGCTTTGTTAGTTCAAAGTGTACTTTGCAACGGATTTTCTTACCGGCTCCAGTATTTGAAGGAGCCACTTGGCCATATTGTGTTGTCGAGAATTTCTCATGGATATTATACAACGAGGTGATATATCAGGTTTATGCAATTTTGGTAACCCATACATTTGTGGTGGTTGTGTGACGATTGGTTTGAGTTTTCTTGCGGCGACTTCAATAATAGAGTTTCCTTCCAATAGAAACTGTATCTCAGAAGATATCTTCTTTTGGAGCTCGTGTGGATCCTGTGGCCTATCCTCCTCAAGCACTAACTTTGATTGGTCACTTAGTATTGAATCCATTTTCCTCTTGTATTCGGTCATATCAACAACAATGGTACCAGATCCCTCATACGGGGTGGAAGTACGGTGAATTTCATATTGCATTCGCGGCTTTTTAAGGCATCAATGTGCTGTTTGTCAAAGCAAACTGCCGTCTCGGTGACGTTATTCTGTATGGTTGTTCAAGATCAGCTAACCGATCTCATCATGCGAGTGTGGAATTAACTGTTTAAGTTGATTTAAAAAAATAATTCAACCCGGGGAACACAAAACCGCAGTCCACATGACAGTGCTTCAGTTTGGCGACTGGTTGATTGGATGGATGATAGATTTCTCACAAGTAATTTTAGGTTTTTGGGGAAACATGAGTTCAGTTCTAACATGTATTGTGGATTTACCATACTTCTTTTGTAAAGTTTTCCTAGTTATATTAGCACAAAAACTGGAGTATTTTACCAGGTAAACCAAATTGAGTTCATCTGGGATGGGCATGGTTGGACCCCTGCCGGTCCATCACTAGGAGAAATCCGTAGCTGCTGAATCTGCTACTGAATGAATATCAATACCCATACATATGCGTGATATTCAGGCCTATTTTCTGTGACCCTGTTTGTGAGCACAAAATTTCAAGTGTGAAATAGTTGTCTTACAGTCACATTTCTTCGCTGCTTCAGTCTAAGTATTTTTATTGTTTCTTTGACATTTAAAATGAGTTGGTTCATCCGGAACCAAAGTGGATAGAATATAGCTGGTGGTTCCGATCAAACACGGAGATTATGAATCATCACATGCTTAACCGATCGATGCCTGACTCTTTAGTCCATCAAAATATTATTTCATGAAAATCATGCTCTTTGCATTGTGCCGACCCAGACAGTCCGGTTGCAAGGTGCATTCTGATATTCTTGGTACATTGATACATTCCGATTTTAAACTACATACATATTATCTCGAAGATGTTCAAGAAGCATAACAATTTTTATTTCAAATATTTAAAACAAATGTGTGTGACCTTCAAAAGATCGTATTTTTTAGTGCGAATGATTTCGGGGAGGGATTTTAGATTCAGCCGAAAAAGAAGCACATTGCAAAAAGCTAATAAACAAGCCTGTTGATAATGAACATGACAGACAAAAATGTTGATATGTGTGATATATCATGTGAGAAATCTGCAAATTTATTTCCAGGGTATGTCACAGTCATGCTGATATGAAGTCTATTGTTGGATCGGGTCACATTATCGATAAATGCTTTGACAGAAATAGAATGTAAGAAACCACGAAACATCAGTGCTTTTCATAGAGCACATCTGTGAATTTGCGAGCCATGACGAAACAGATTAAGCAAACCCTGAAGTAAAATTAGAATCCTACTTACGAGTATGCTGTAGATGGATTATTTCAAATAAAACTCATTGATTTTTAACCTGTTCTCCACTGAAACACAACGGACGTTGTTTTAGTCGGCTTCTTCATCGGTCCTTTGGAGTGGAATTATCCTACATCACCGGACCGCTGGAGGTTAGTAATGGTACTCCAATGAAAATCTGAGAATTTCTTGAACGTTCAAGCCAATTATGTACCCGTAATACGATCACAGATCTTGTAGACCTGCGAACACAAACTTTTACCATGGACTGGACTTGGAAGGGAAAGCAATTAGACTAGCTAACAGTTGATTCAATGAGACTCGTACTCATAGAAGTGTGTGTTGTTTTATATGGATCTCTTATATGAATTCTTCGCTGTAGATGAAAAACAATAACAGCGAACGGTCTTGCGGATCGCACACACTGCAGAATGCATAACATCGTGCTGTGCTAACCAGCAAATAACGGTGATGATTAGTTCTAACGTGTGGTTCTCAAACGAGAGTCGAACAAAAAAACTACGCCTTGAAAATGGAAGAAAATATGCCCATTATGAAAGGATGAACGAAATTTTGTAGGCACATAAGAACAATTTGCAGTGCAAATTAAACATTAACATCAAAAGCTCACTATTAGTCGCACCGCTTGGAAAAATATATCAACGTACGTATTCTAAGGAGGACACGACCTGGATACACATAATCATAGTACGACTTTCTATTTCATCATATTTTCTACTACCAAATGGAATCGAAAATTTTAAAATCCTCAACCTTTTTGCGATAGACGCTGCAGGAACGTCACGAATGCAAAACTGCCAGTTGAAAGTCATGTGGAACAGTACAGTACGCTTATCCACTTATTGAATGGTTAGAACACGGTAGACAAATATGGTCTGCGAAGGATGAATTCGAAACCGTGGTGGAAAATAGTCATGATGTAAGTTGTTTTACCATGTGCTGTATAAAAATACGAGAAGCACTAGGTAGAAATTATCTCAGCTTCATGAAAGACATCACAATGTTTGACGTCTTCCGTGTGATGTGATTTGTGGTTTTGGTAACGCAATTACGCAAAAATCGTGCATCAAGACTAAACATGTTGATCGATCTGGACGAATCGTTCAGAAGGCATCGTAGATTCAAGTCTGTTTATTTTGTCTCGAAAATGTACTGTGCAGCAAGCATATTGTGTTCAGTTTCATACAGAACCAAATGTTTGGTTCACTGATGAGCCACAGGCGTTCCACAAGATGTACCATCCGATGCGTATTCCATGCGTTAAGGATGAGAGCCGGAGTGAGAAAACACGTGACATGGTTTTTTGCCGGCTGAAATGGCAGCCGATTTAACTTTGTTCGTGTGGAAGAATTGTTCAAGACGGAGTAAGCATAACTTTAGGTTGAATGAATGAATAAAAAACAAACATTTTCATTTTAACTCCATTAGCGAAACCCCTTTCTGATTCCACACTCTTCATTGTAATACCCGCTTTCATCTTGGGAAATGCATAATTTGAAATAGGTGATTGATTGTTCATTTTTTAGGAGAGGAATCGAGTTCCTTCTAGTCATGATTTCACAACTAATAACAGAAGTGAACTCAGTGAAGTAAGTAATCGGCTGCATTGAAGCGAAAAACTGTGAACGTAAGAAACTGATTCCCCAGGATGGACGTTCGAATTCAGCGGTACTTTTCCCTGGCATGAGTTGTTATTTCGGGAAGCTACTCGATTAATCGTTAATGTAATGTATTTTCCAAATGTTATTCTATGGCCGCACACTGCGTTTCTTCGCACGTAGACTCCAATTCTTGTCATAACACGTTGTGCTGCATAGAGTCACAACCAAGCTGAGGAAAAACAGACAAAGTTTTTTCATAAAATACTGGTTGATGGTTTACTCTCAGACAGCATTCCATTAGTCCGCGGAATGTTCCCGTTATAATTCTGAGTAATATCTGTTTAGATGCGATGGAAATATTTATGATGACCAAGAAAGAGCATTGGACAGCTGTTTCGTCCTTATTGGGACTCGTCAGCAGTGCGTGCTTTTTTGTGTCCCCGTCAGGACTCAAACCGCGACTCTTCGGGCTGGGACTTCAAGCCCTTACCCTTGGGCTACACAGTCGATGGTTATCACCTTGTGCTAATGGCTCAATCAATTTAGATGGTGAATGTTTGGACTAACCCATTCGGCTTTTTACAGGCATCAGGCACTGTTGATGATGATGACATTGGCGCAAAAAAGTACGCACCGCTGATAAAAACATAAATTCAGCGCTTGAATGTATGAATGTATGTCGACACCGTTTTAAGCAACAAGTAACTGTTACGAGATGTGGTCAGCGTTACGCAGTTCGGTGTCACATGGAGACCCGTGCCCAAAAGTAGAAGTAAATCGACAATCTTCTGTCTCACCCGGTCCTACTTCACCATCTCCCTCTTCCCACTCACTTGAAAACTCCAGCTGTGTTTGTTCGACTGAGGTGATCAAAGTTCAAACCCGAACTCAAATCAAACAAAAGCCCACGGATCTAAATCATTATTCCTATTATATTGAAACCTGTGTTAAACACAGAGATCTATTTCCCATCACCAAATCTGTGAATGTGTATTGGGTGACTTCTGGTGATGTGTTATAGACCAGCCGGGTTATGTCAAATAAAACAGTTTGAAATTTTTTCATCACCAGACATGATAGTCATACAGCCTCAAATGGTCCCGTAAGTGGCAATAATCATTTTCGATAGTACTGATTGATATATTGCATAAACATCATCAAATACGGGCTAAAACTCGTCCTGCTTAAGGCATAAATATTGCGTAGACAACACTGTTTGGGGTAATGTTATTCTATTATTCGTCTGGTAACTTCACCATCATGCAGATCTATAGTTGGGACAATGAACAACAGCACTCGGTAAAAATGTTAATAAGAAACAGTCCTTTTTTCAATGAAGAATGCCCAGCTTAATAAACTAAAATTACCACTGCGGTATCCGTTCATATTTGAGTAGTAGTCTTAGTTAAACCATATTGCGCTGAACAAGACGAGATGTTTCACTAGTTCCATTCTCATATTACTTTATACTTTCGCGTGACTTCAAAAAAGCCGCTGAGAAAAAATTTAATTGCCCGTTACGCGCAACAACAACAACAATCAAAAAGCAATATTTGTGGACTCACTCATTAATGGCTAAATGTAAATCTTTTACATCTTTGTCCACCAGGGTTCGATCCACGATCCTATAGATGTTTCCTTCCCTTTGAGCCTCCGACAGTTCCTCCAGACTTTCTTCATATCTTCCACTTTTTAGAATCTCCTCTAAAAGTTGACAATAAGCTCCTTTTGTTCCCTTCCGGATATCCGTTTCCAGGGAACGATGATGGGCACCTGAGTATGAGATTACGAAATGTGAACAGTGATGAGATCTATATCACTCGATTGTACATTTCTTAACAAGAAATTGGGATTATTTGGAGGGTTTGATTGTTCCGAGGCCACTTGTTTTCTTGCACCTGCGAACCCTCGTGGTGTTTAATAAAGTAAGCGGTTCTTTTGACTTCATGGGCTCGGTCGAGTCCTCTGTCGGAAGCAAAATTTGAACGAATTGTTTGTAAAATATCTAATGGTGTACCCGATTTTTGTGGAAGACAATTGTGAAGTAACTGAAGAACCATGGTGTTACAGACTGTCCACAAGACACGAGTTCTAAAGTTGCAACGGTTCGCGTAAGTGATTGTTCTCAGGCAATGGAATGGCTTTGTCCGTGTGAACAAAAAGAAATTACCGTTAACCTGATTCCATCATAAGGATATGTGATGTATCTTTACTCCTTTAATTTATTTTTACTTTAATTTACTTTATAGTCTTGCCTTTTCTGTAATGTGCAGTATATTGGGATAAAGCAATATCGTCCCGATCATGAATCATGCAATATTGCCTTATGGTATTTTCTTTGGAACGTGAGCTCAGAAAAGACTTCCTGTAGCCAGGTGAAGAATGTTTATCGACTGGTAGAAACGGCAGTGGCGAGATCCAACAATTTGCTCTATGGCACTACTATGAGGTTCATTTTATTTTCTTGGTCAGCTAACCATTTTATTGAAGATATATATCGTGTGTGTGGTTTTTCCGTCCATTAAAATCTATTATTAACGTTTGATCACAAAGTAGCGGTCCATTGAAACAATTACTCTCTGTTGCTCAACGTTTTCGTCCTAGTTCTTATTGATTGTTCGGACTGTCGAATTCACTCTTTTCAACGGTAAAACCGCCCAATCCTATTAGCTGCATGCAGTTGACCCATGTTCCACATCAAATAAAAAACGCACGTGCACACAACTATCAGAACAAATCAAGATCTGTAAAGACCTGATACAATCGTGTCATAAGACCATACAAATATTCCTCTGATGAGTGTGATTTAGTACGATCCATTTTTGATCGCCGAATTTCCAAGTCTTTGTTCTTCGTTACATCCCTGGATGAGTTGCCTTCTTTCCTGTTCCTGTAGTTGCATTGCAAGATTATATATGTCCAAAAATATCAAATATCTTATCAGTATTAATATTCAACGGCAACTTCTTTTAATCGGCTACTATATATTTCAAATGGGAATTCGTCTTGTATGTCTGAAACAAAGCTTAAACTGAAAAGCTAGGAAGCACTGGACAGCTGTTTCGCGTAAAGGAAAATTGAAAAACAATCTGAGCAGCCGCCCGACGTACAAGTGGGTATCACGTTTGCGTTCTACCTGTGAGGTCACGGGTTCCCGATCCTCAGTTGGGTTGATGGATTCACGCACTGGTGCTGAGACCCAACCCGGTTGAAACGGCTGTCCGGTTGTACTTCCTAGCTTTTCAGTTCACGCTTCATTTGCGATATGCACGGCGAATTTCCCGTTTGAAATTGAACTAAATTCTCCATTACTCTCACTTGCTGTGTATTTACCTTGATTAATAAGATAGAAAAGCCAGTATGTGTTCCCAAAATGAAAGCGCTTTTAAAGTTGTCATACAAAAGCGATGATGTGATTGAATTAACCAGCAAGCGATTGAACTCTGTCGTGAAGCGCACCCACTACGCAGTTGACCTGATCATTGTCTTCACTACCACCCGGATACCATCGACATCGGAGAAAGAACCATTGCTTCCCTCTGCCAAATCAAATTGTATTGACCAATTCAGGCATGGATGCTCAGCCATCTACATAGGGAGGACAGAGAGGCAGTTTCGCCACCGAATGACCGAAAGCATTCCGGTGTGGCTTAAGAAACCGATGGACGACAAGTTCAAAGCTCTTACGTTATCCAATGAGCAGAAAAGATTTAGATCTTCGATAACGTAACACGTATTCGAACATCAACATTGTGTCATTCCGACTCAAGCATCTCAGGTCATCTACAACACAACAAACACAAAGTTAGTGAAATTTGCCGAGGCTCTGGCCATTCATACCCTCAAACCCGATCGATGCAAACAACGAGAATGGTCAGTCAAGCTAGCTTTGCCTTGGTGATTAACATCCTACTCTTTCCCGTTCCTTGTGTTATTGTGTCGTGTTGTACGTTGTGATTAGCAATCATGTCTTCATTTCACGGTAGTTATCTCACTGACTATATCAAAATCACTTGGACTGCAGTATGCACGCGTGCGTGTACAAAGATGAAGCGAAATGACCATGGGGATACATTGTGCAAACTCATGTTTCTGACTTCTCTGTTCAGACTTGATAAATGGAACGTATGAATGCACCTAAATCACTCTAGTAAATAATATGAAATTAACTCACGTTTTGGATCTTCGGTTTCCAGAACTGCCGTAAGAGAAGGATGGGGATGGAACGTGCGAAGCGAACACAATGAGTCAGTCAGTCACGTGAGCGACAGTAATCACAAATCTGAATTTTACTATTAACGCACAAAGTTGTATTGCTTCTCCGTGTTCCATTTTTTATGCACGTATTAAGTGTTACAATTTCACAAGGCAGTGCCGGGCTGAGGAAAGTTACTCATCATGAACAACGGCAACGGTATTGGTCAATTGGTAAACATAGAACAAAAAGTCTCATTTGCAACAGTTACTCGGAATTCCCACAAGTGAAGAGAATAAAATTAGTGGATGTGCATTTCCTGTAGTTATCATTTTGTACACAGTAATTTGCTCTAAAAGATCTTGTTCATTAATGACCGTTGAAAGAAACGGTCAATGATGTTGTTTTGCGCAATCCGAACGTACGACTCACAACACAAGTAACCTCATACGGTTTGATCGATCAATAAAATTCAAATATCAACAGAACCTTTATTTGTCGAGACCGTAAAGCCTGTTTTGAATACTTCATCATCGGAAACAAAATCGATTCGATGAGATTGAATCATAATCGTCGAAACAAGAGGCAAAATGTGATAGCAAAGCCAGTGTTTTCTGTTTTAATTCACTCACACTTAACGTTCTCTCCATCTGTGGAAGTGGGGAGAGAGGATGTGATACAGTCAACCTACATCGCATTCAAATTTCAAGTGGCTTATATTAATAAATTGGATACCTTGGTTGATAAGTTTGTGCAACTTTGCTCATGTGTACGGGTATTGACCAAACTCGTGCAACATTCTGATTTTCAATACATTTGTTCCTCTCATTGATTCGTTATTCCGGCATCCTTCACGGGATTGAATATGATTTTGCGCCGTATCAGACGCAACATATCTGATATAATACTCACTGATTTCTTCGCTTCTATTGGCCACATGCTATTAAAATGTACGACTTTGCGATTTTGGCGATGGTTGCCTATGGTGCATCAGTTGTAAAATAACAAAGTCACAGTAAAATACGCAACTGGAATTCATTTATTGAAATGACTCATAGACTTTATACAGGTACTGTTCTTTCATTTACCCTTCTCATTTTTTAGCACTACACACAGTCAATCAAGTTGACTGCCAAACAGAATTTTCCAGTTTCCTCTAATACACGCTGCAACCTAACCATTGAGGACCAACGTTGAGGCAGCTAACTCTTCCCTGTTTCTGATACAGGGAAACGTTTTCGATTAAATTAAAATCCTAACTGCTGTCCGTTAATCGAATGAATTGGTCATTGATTTTGACCCCTCCAGGTACTGCGTAGAAGTTAAAAGTTAAGTTAATCCTTAATTAGGTCAAACCCTTTTTTACTACCGAGAAGATATGCCAACCTTAATCTGTGAAAAATACGAGTCCCGCGAATGCATTTGAAGAGTAGTAGTTACGAAAAACCTCCCTTGTCAGTGCAACACATTTTGCGACACCCAGATTGGTGTGTGTGTGTGTGTGTGTGAGACCAATATAAAGGCACTAAGTGTTTACTTTCCTTCGAACTAGTTAGCTGGGATGTTGCACGAGTTTGATCAACATCTGTGTATACAGAAGCAGTGTTTCTGTCTGAATGAGCAGCGTATGGGTTTTCATCCTTACGATTATGTCATAACCCATTCTTCAAATATGACCAGAATGTGTATGCTATGGGTGCATTGGCACAGAAAGCGAACCAGTACAGTAGCCACACCAATTGTGACCGAGTGAACATACAGTACTAGCCGATTGTGATTCACTAAAATATTTTCTTTATTATCAAATAAAGTTTCATAATATTAATCACCTGTATTAATGCTTTACGTATGGACAATTACTCATATCTTGTCTACTTCGATCTACGTATTTTCCAGTCTGCATAAGTGTCAATTAAACATGTCTGACCTTGATTGCCAAGATTAAATGATCGGAACATGAAAACCACGAACTCTATCAAGTATGACAACGCAATATTTTCTAATAGGAATGACTCAAGACGTATCCCAAATTATTTCCATAAACCCTTGCCATCTCGATTATTTGTTATGAAGCATTATTTAATCTAATAATCTCACTGAATTCGAGAAATACCACTTCAATCAAAGTCAACCTTGGAAACAAGGTCATTTTCGTGCACAGCGTTGAATGTTCGTATTGGTTCCACTATAATGAAGCAAGCAGCCCTCGAAACCAGAAACAGAAACATAATTGCACAAGCACACAAGCTTGGATTTTCAATATCACATCTTGCCCAATGTTTTAACGTTAACAACAGCACAATTCACAGGATAATCCATGGGAAAACAACAACCAGGAAAGTGTAGAATCGCACACACGCACACACACGTACACCCACACTGTACAACACAACACAGATTCCGATTTGTCAATCGATTGAGAAAACCAGTACTATCGTGTCCAATAAAGCGTGAGAGAGAGAGCTTATCAGTCACTCACTTGCAGCGTATGCGTTTTTCAGCAAATAAATTTCTGTATTGTTACAACAGCACAAAATAGCTGTCAGTTCATCCGAACTACGCCCGACCTTTTTCAGTTCACGACAGATATCGTTTGCCAAGATCTCTATGGGTGTTCGGAATAGGTTCTTTACCAATGACTCATAGTCCCCGTATAGTTCATCACCGAAAGATGTCAGAAGATCCTGAAAACAAAATAACGAAATAAGCAAAATAGATCAAATCAGTGTGTTTTGTTCGCGCATTTGTTGTAGGTACAGTGTTTCGGGTGATTTGGAATTGCTTGTGTGTGTGTGTATGTGTGTATAGCTGTATGCTTATCAATAAAGATCACCTAGAAATATATGGGGCATGTGGAGTGATAGTCCAGCAGATGGAACAAATTTGTGGTTCACTACCTGAAACAAATGCTGTGATACGACTGGACCTCTCTCTCTCTCGGACAAAACCATCATCAGTTTTTTATATTTTCATCTTTCAGAGAACCACAACATATAGATAATATGGACGATAGTCCGAATGATGGACCACGCACCATCAGGAAAAAATAACCAAATAGACAAGTTTTCTCATCAAATTTTCTCAGTTAATGATTAACGAGAAACAGCACACATAGATCGTCTATTAATTTTACATTCTGACACAACCACGACATCCGGTCGATAGTGTACACCGCAGTTTTTTTCTCTCGCCGTATGGTCCAGAAAGCAACTGGGATTTTTCGGATTATTGTGTACTAGGTATTGCACAAGTCTATAGAAGAACAATTCCATAACTAAAATAAAGGTAGGAAAAAAAAATTTTTAGTTGTCCCGTTTGCGCATTCATTCCTGTGTGTTAAACTTTATGACAATGCCATACGTTAGGCTGACCACGGGACGGGCTCTCCTAATGCATAATGTTTTCTCGTCCAGATAGATAGTGATTGGAACAACAGTAACGAATACCAGCTAATTATCAGCTCCACAGGAGTTCAACATGATCACGCAGAACGTTTTGAGTGGTCCGGTCCGTTGACAGCAGTCAACGGGACCAGTCCAATCGATGCTTGAGAACAAAATGTGAAATGACTGAACACCGTACGCAGCGACGCCTTGTTATTTATAAGCATTCCGCAAACAAATACATTTCTCATACTTGGTGGCTTTTTCCTGGGAATAGTTCTTAAGTTCACTGTGTGTTTATATCTATTTTTCCCTCTATTGCTTAACCACAGTTCTAACCAGAAGGTTAAGTTTGATAGGTGGAAAACTGATTCATCGAAGTAAACCGTAGTACTGAATGGTGATTGCCAGGAATGGAGAAAATAACGATTCACAAAAAAATGACGTTTATAGCGCATACACAATTGGGGAGACGTAAATGTCTGTTTTCAGATGTTTCGGTACTGGTCCTATTCGTGCCATGCCGAATAGATCTATCCACAAACGCGAAATTAGTTCCCGATTCACTGAATGATTAGTCGTGAGAAGGCAAGTTAGCAAAGTTCGTTTTCGGTACTAAATCAACTTGGCTCACTATGGCATATTTTATAATAAATAGACTGATCAACATGGTGAGAGATAACACATATCTGCAAAGGAAATCAGCGTTTGTAAAGAGACAATGTAATTTGTGAGTGTGTATGTATCTGTGTTTGTGTATGCGTGAAAAATGGATGATAGAGAGTGGTTATGAAAAAGGTCAATGAGAATTCATGAAGTGTATGGTCAGGATAGAACCAGAGCTCTTAGAAACTGAATCTGGGTGCAAAGTGGAAGGAAGTGCGAGGACGCATGGTCAGCGCCTTGGTTGCTAACAAGATTCGGAACTTAAACACTTTAGATAACCTTTTCCTTACTGTACCCAGAGAACGAAAAGCCTCAAGTCTCGGTCAAATGGTTCGCCGCGATCCTTCGCAATCCTCAATTCAACCAGCTGGACGCAAACCGATTCATATCTCTCCGTTTGACCCACATGACTGGCTCCAAAGTAGCAGGTGAAATAATAAGCACAAAATAATCTAACTTTGAATCTAATGCTATATTTAGCCAGTTAATGTTGCATCAAAAGTGAGCTTGTTTGTCTATTTCTGTTCTCAGGAGTATCACAGATTTGTTTGCTGCCCATTACCGACGATGTCAAATGTTTTGTAATGACCGGCCGTACAGAGCGGTTTTGATTTCCACCAATTCACCCGGGAGTTAGAAGCAATGGCTGTTTATCATGCAGATCAGCAATGTGGACTCTCCCCCCGGGACATCGAACGTTTGTAGTTCACGTCTCGACGGGGAATCAAGGACTCTCGATGCGTCATGCAATACCAGTTGGGGGCAATATGTACTCTTCTGCATTTCGGTATCCATGTTGACGGTAGGAAAATGATTACAAGTAATCTATACCAGTTTGAAAACATCACTCGGCATGGATGAACACTGGTGCATTTGAATGCATTATCTCATAGGGAATTAACGATCTCCGAAGGAGTGAAACCTACACCGAAGACAATCAAGAGTGTCTGATGCCTCTGAATAATTGGATGGGCTAATCCAAGCTTGATACTCTGATCTACACCAGTTTGAAAACATCATCCGGTCTGGTTGAACATTGGTATGATTAAAACTATTACAAGTGACATCGTCTCACACCTCGTCGAGTTCGATCAAACTGTGTTCGGGGTCACAGATCAAAACCCATTAAAAATTGCATCCTAACCAGCGCAGAGGCGGTTGGAGTTCGTCTGCATAATCCACCCTTGTACGCCCAAAAACAGTTTGTGAAGTCACTCACAACCTATCATGGCCGTCCACCGCCTCCTCTCCTTCCCAATCCCACTTGAAATCACACGGACCAAGTCTAAGTTCCGATGGCACGACCAGCCATATCCGGGTTTGTGAAATTGACACAGAAAGCAATAACAACAATCACAATTTGAATAATCACTAATTTTGTTTCCTCTGCTCTATATGCAATGATGTGATATAAAATGTGACGTATTCGGCAGTTAATGAGTCATCGTAAAATTTTTTTTCCCGCTAAACTGCATTTTTCATTCAGTGTGTGTCGCTGGTATATATATTCCGGTAATCTGACAGTGTGTTTGCCTCAGTTATCTACGATCAGCGAGTCTGGATACAAATGAGATAAGCTGCGAAATTCGCAAAGTTCATAGAACTAAAGGATAACCTTAGCGAATGATTTCACTCTTTATCGGCTTTTATCATCAATGATTTGAGTTTGTGTATTCACAGTTAATAAAAGCAAATAATCAAGTGTAAATATATCTCTGACATACTTTTCCATAACGCGTTTTGAAAGCTCGACGGATTTCTTGTCGTTGATTTAGAGTCCGTTTGACCAGGAGGTTACTCACAACGTCTAAATCTTTATCTGAAAATAGCAGTAAACAACCAAATGATTATTGTCTCGTAGGCTGGTGAAAATTACATTACATTTCTATTTTTTTTTCTATTTTGGTCGACCCGTCTTCCACAGTTTTCCTTCCATAGTTTTCTAACTACTTCGAACCCATTATTTTTTTTTCGGACTGTTTCATTTTCACTAATCTGCTGTCTCGCTTTTCTTTGTATCTGTTTCCATGTAGATCAGCAATCGATAAATAGTCTTCAACTATCAGGAACGGGATAAAAATAAATATTTCCAATGTTTGTTCTTTGAATGTTGCTTTTATTCTGCCGAATTGCATGCAACCGACGCGTGATTATGAAATTTCCAGTAACTATAATTTTCTCTCACAAGCCCAATGAATCTTTCTTTTTCGCAACAAACCAGTCTAAATGGAATCTTTATCGACGAAGCAGTTAAAAGTGATTCCTATTAAATTACTAGGAAATTAGTCAATTTTATTTATTCATAATATTTATTGATATCTTTAAACGTGATCAGTTTCTTTTCATTGAAATGTGAACGTGCCAGGATTTACTCACGTCTCTCATTTGGTGAAAATAGCTTCATAGTTCATTGAGGGATGCAAGAAGTAGTTGACATTTCAAAATGCAATTTTGTCCCAAATTTCTATGCCATCCAATCGGACGCATAATCGATGTTCTCACCCGTGAAGGGTAACGGACTACTTGAAATGACTGCTAAATGTTAAAGTCAAAGTCAAAGTTTTATTATGGGAATAGCTTACAAGCTGGTGCTTCTCTTGTCCCATAGGATGTTTACATAGATGAATCGTTACACATCAAAAAAAGGAGTCACATAGAGATCCGGGTAGGAGATAGAGAATGTAGGCTACAGTGAATCCCGTTTGCCTTTAGTGTACGAATGTGAGGTGTGCCAAGATTTTGTCGAGTCTCTGCTTGAAAGATTCAATAGTGGGTGCACAAACGACATGAGATGGAAGGGCATTCCAAGATTTGCATACTCTGACAGCAAAAGACTGGCGCCGGCAATCCAGTCGAGACTTTGGAATCAGTAGTTTGAAACGGTGTCCCCTTAGGTGTACATTGTTCGATAGCATGAGAAGCGATCGACACGGATGGTTTGGGTTCTTCAGTATTTGATACGTCAAAATCAAGTCTCCTCGAGTTCGGCGATACTGAGCGGAATATAGTCCCAATGATCGCAATCTGTCCTCGTATGACAGGTATTGGAATCCTTTGACCATCTTGGTGGCCATCCTTTGTGGACGCTCAAGAAAGCTCCAGGCTGATTCTCCCACTAGTAAACTAAAACTTCAGTGTGTATCGTATTGCCCAAAAAGATCACACGCTTCTTGATCTCTTTACCACGTATAGAATTCTCGTTGATCTTTTTCGAACCCTGAGCGAGTGAGTGTTTACTATGGACACTGTTAGCGGGACCAGATCACTAGGGTGTTTTAGCTCTAAAGCCTGTCGTGCTAGGCGGTGGATGTCGACACGAATAAAGCAATGCATACTACATCATTTGTTTTACTGTTCCCCTGGGGTAACGTAAAATGAATGGATCGTAGACTACCCTCTACAAAACGTGGTTAGATAATAATATTTGATATCAAGTAAGTAAAAGGTTCTAACGTCTGATAAAAGCTCTGTTATTGTGGGAAAAAATTGTGGTTTTAGGGAAAGCAAATCTCAGTTGCAGTTCCGCGAGGTGGTTTGAGACGTGCAAACCTTGAAGAAACATTATGATGTTTTTTTGTTAAATGTTGTGGGTTAGATGTGTCCAACTTCAGTCAGCTGGACTCTTGGGTCGATTTTCAGTGTTTTTTTAACAATGAGTAGTATATGAATTCCTGAACAAAAGAAGAACATGACCGGTTTCACGGTTCTTTCGGCTCATCACGTATGCGTATCCGGTTATCCTTTGTCTGTTAATTCTTATACTTGAATTCGTGATATGAATTAAGAAAATCAAATCCCATCCGTAGTTTGGGAATTTGATTCGAGACGAACCAGCGTCGAGCAATCATTGGGATGATTCTATATTAGGTCCAAACGAGATTTGCTAAAGAGATTCGCATTGTCTAATTCTCATCGGCAGTTCAATTGTAAGAATGGACAAACAAAGGATGTTCGGATACGCGNATATCCTGCTCAGTGTGAAGCCAGCAGTGTTCTCCGGCCACAATGTTCATCTGCAGCACTGTGCTATTCGGTTTTTCAGAGGCCTTCACCAGTCAGCTTCAGCTGCTTACTAGCTTTACTAGCTTACTAGCGTTTATCTAACCACAGCTAGGCCAGCCACGCGGAAAGATCAACACACCCTTACAAACACGGATAACAAAATAGCGCATTGTTCAGAGTTGAGCACGATAGTTTCACTTGAGCGGATCTCGCCTTTCTCGGCGCACACTGGCTGTATACATTTCTCAGTAGTGAACTTTACTATACTCCTGGTCTATTTAAGAATTGATCTATTCAAAGAAAATCTGTTTCTCATTTATGGTTAGAAACAGGTTTGGTTTTCACTTAACCTGTTAGCGCCACATTTTTCAACCATCGTTTAATCGATCTAGCTGGATACCTAGTTTGGGTCATGCCTAAGAACTACGAGCTCATAATCTGGTTCCCTTCCGTACGCTCGTCTCTCCGGTTGTCTCAAGTATCATTTCACACAGACTGTGCGTGTGTGGCTGTGCGGGGGCGATTCAATAAGTCAGTAAGATTTGCTCGTTTTTCTATCCTTCATTTTGCAGAATGTATAATCATCAGTAACTCGTCATCGCATACAGGCTAATTGGGTTATGTCAGGTTGTGTTGCGTCTTTATTATTGTACGCCACTAATCTGTTCTGCGACGGGGCAATCACAATATCCCACTATCCACATAGCAACATGACATCTTAAATTGATAATAGGACAGCTTAAATTGAAAAAGATATCCACATGTATACATATTGTGCAAACCCATGTTTTTGACTTATCTGTTCAGATTTGTGACGGGAAAACAGTGTTTTCAGTTTCTCAAACGTCGTCTCCCACCATCAATGATTCGTCAGTTNGGACTTGTGAGATTGAGGTGCAAGATTGCTGTGCAACGAGTACGGATGGATGTTCTATCTGGATGTATTGAACGTAGCCAATACCCAATCACTTATTGCAAACGTCTACGGCGTGAAAAACTTCGGCCAACACCGANGATCATCTAACCGTGATACCACTGATCAAATTTACCAGTTTTTGCTGTGAAAAGGTTCGTCAAACGCGCATGTACGAAATGAACAGATTGAGTAAGTCACTGATTCATAAATTGATGAACTCGTCCTTTCCTAAACACCCTGAAAAATACGTGTACAATGTATCGTCATATCGATTGAATCTTGAAGCTTTATCATGTGGTCTAAATTATTGTATTCCATCAAGAAGTAGCAATCATATTGAATCTAAAGCGGCGTCTGAGTCCCTTTTTGATCAGTTATCAAATATGAAACCGACAAATGAGGATGATCTGGGCTGGTTTAAAGCAAAACTAATGGACATTGAGAATCAATACCGAACTACAGGAACAAAGCAGAAATCTCTACTGACCGATGCACTAATCGAAGGACTAAAACAACTAAAGCCTAATCGAAAAATCGTTGTGCTGCTCCCCGACAAGGGTTTTGGTGTAGTAGTGATGGATGAGTCACACTACAAAGAAAAGATTATGCATATCCTACAGGGCGAAACGAAGTTTAAGCTTGACAGTACACCAGATGATCCAAGTGAATAAGAGAAGAGAATTTGTGCGGAACTGAAAACTCTTACTCAGGCGAACCTTATGCAAGATTCACTGGCGAAATGTTTACGTCCGAGGGGAACACAGACATCACAGTTGTATGGCCTACCGAAAGTGCATAAGGAAGGCATTCCGTTACTACCCATCCTAAGCGTGATCAATTCACCGCAACATGCATTGGCAAAGTGGTTAGCCAAAATTCTCGTACCGGTGAGAGAGTCAATTGCTCGGCGTAATGTCAAAGATAGCTTCGAGATGTGTAAACATTTGAACCACAGAAATATTCAACAAAGACAGTTGTTTACAATGGATGCAAATTCGCTATTCACAAACGTTCCGCTATATGAGACCATCAGGATTATCTCTCAGGTTATTGAGGAGAAGAATTTGCAAATTGGATTGCCTAACAGTGAACTATCGCGACTTCTACTCCTTTGCACGTCAAACGTTACGTTTTCGTTACTCGGACAAGGATATAGACAAATAGATGCGGTCGCCATGGGCAGTCCACTGGGACCGATTCTTGCAGACATTTTTCTTGGTCACCTAGAGGAAAGGCTTGAAGGAGATATTTCAAAACTAGATCTATGTTGATGATATCTTCGTTATAAGCAACGTCAAGGAAGACGGAGAGAACTTATTCCGTCGGCTCAACACAATTCATCCCAATATCCAGCTTAGTCGTCACGACGAACGGAATGATCGCATCGACCTTTTAGACATAAATATTACTCGTCGTCCAGATGGATCAATTAAAAGATCTGTCTTCCGAAAGAACACGTGGTCTGGGCAATACTTGCGTTTCACGAGCTTCGCCCTTATGAGATACAAAATTGGGCTCGTTCGCATACTATTTCATCGAGCTCGTGAAATATGCACAGAGGATTGTTTAAGCGACAAAACAAAAAAAGCACTACAAGCAAACGGATATTCAGGCGCCTTCATCACCAAGCATAATAAAGCAACACCAAAAATAGACAGTTCAATAACTGTCCCGAACAAGAAAACGTCTTTGATGTTAGCATACAAAGGCGATGACGTGAGTGAACTCGTTAGCAAGCGGTTGAACTCTGCTGTCAAGCGAGTCTATTACGCAGTTGACCCGGCCATTGTCTTCACTACCACCCGGATACCAACGACATCGGTGAAAGAACCATTGCCTCCCTCCGCCAAATCAAATTGTATTTACCGATTCAAGTGTGGATGCTCAGCCGTCTACATAGGTAGGACAGAGAGGCAGTTACGTCACCGAATGGCCGAACACATCCCGGTGTAGCTTAAGAAAGCAATGGACGACAATTTTGCACATGTTACGTCATTGATTGATCGGAGAAAGCTTAGATCTTCGATAACGCAACATTTACTCGAACAAAAACATTGTGTCACCCCACCCCACGCATTCCATGTCATCTACAACATAGCAAACACAAAATTACTGAAATCTGCCGAGGCCCTAATCATTCACACTCTCAAGCCTGATCTATGCAAACAACGCGAATGGTTAGTCACATTAGCTTTGCCTTAGTGATTGACCCCCTGCCCTATCTCGTTCCCCCTTTTTGTGTCTTTGCGTGGCGTTGTCCGTTGTGATTAGCGATCTTGTGTTTTTCCTCTTAAATCTGTTATATCACTGACTATAAACATCACTTGGACTGCAGTCCATGCACGTGTACAGATGCAGCGAGATGACCATGGATACATTGTGCAAACCCATGTTTCTGACTTCTGTGTTCAAATTTTATATTTACTTCCATTTTGGTATCAAATAATTTGTGGTGTATGGGGGTAGTGCCGCATCAGTGCAGACATTGTAAGGGATACTTTGACGAATTGGATCGGGAACAATTAGTTTTGGTGGCTCGTAGGACACTTATTTTGTTTCACGGCCGTAATGACGTTTAGGGAATTGGGGTTGTCTGCAGTTGCATGATCTGCATAGATTTTCACTTAATTTTCGACGAAATCTTGTCACGGAAAACATGAAAATATATATATATATATACGAATTTTGCTTTTTTACATTACAGGCTATACCAAACCGCTTAAAATGTACCAGACGGTATTGTATACCATGATTTCTCTTGGGATCTAGTGGTTAAATAATTTCGTTTAATCTTCTCAATCGCTGACGTAAAACAAACAAGCACATTTATAGCACATTGTTTCTCACCCATGGCTTACAAACGTGGACTCGTAAAAGCTCTGTTCTATCGAGCCAGAAGCATTTG